ACGACTACTAGCATCTTATTAGTATCTATGGGCTGCAGCAATTATATTAAGATTTCAGTAAAATGGTCCCCTAACAATATATATTGAGTCATACATGTTGCAGTATTTCTAGAGGGGTACTTTTCGTTTATTATATTCCTTCCAGTATTTGTTATTTTATCTGAAAGTTCTTGTTTAAAAAAAAATTATGCAAGTAATTTTGCTAGCATAGCCGGTGAATATGTGGGTAGATTCTGATTTCTCTCTGACGCAGGAAAGGTGTGCAGCTGCTGACACGATCTCTCTTATTGCTCGCGTGCTACACAAATCCAAAGCTCATATCCAGTCCATGCTATTGCAACATAATGCAACTATAGTTGAAGATTTTTATGGGAATGTGGTAAGTCCATCCTGTCTTTACGATCTAGTAGTTTCCATGCAGACTGAGTGAGTTGACCTTATACACTGAAGAAGGCTATGATTAGTGAAGTTGGCTAAGACTTCTCGCTGTGCAGGTTGATTCTGTACCAGACCTGACGGAGCATATACATAGGACAACTGCAAGAATGCTTCTTCATATCAGTGGGTAATGTATTCTTAAAGTCTAATGACATAACAAATTTCAAGAAGCTTGTACATGAATCACTGTTCCCTCTTGATTTTTTATTTTGCTTAACTGTTGCTTATGTTTCAATATTCTCATTTGGTTTCATCTTCTTTGCTTTATGCATCTTCTATTAGTTATTCCGGAATTATGGTTCCGTCAAATGATTTTACTGCTATAGATGTAGTTAAACATTTTTTCAATGATTTTTTTTGAGTTGACACATTAAGATACCAAAGATGTTTATATTTAATGGCGTTTTAATTACAGAGAGAATCTGTTCAAATGCTTTCACAACAATCGTGAAAGGTCTTTTTTTGCAGGCAGGAGTTTTACTTTGAGTTAACTATGGATTTATTACTAAATTATAAATTGAAAAGTCTACCCTCTCACAAGCTGTGGACATGAGGAATTGTTACTTATTTTATTAGCATGCTTCGCATATTAAGTACTGCATCTTATGATTTTACATGCCGAGCTTGAGGACATCTTCAACGTGGTGGGCATGAATATGTATGATATGTAGTCAAGTAGCAAAAACAATGTCAACCCATGTGTGGATAAGCTGCTAAGTACAACATGACGTGATGACATGATGATTATTTTGCCGCTGACTTGAGATTTGTTAAGTAATTCCCGAACAATAGAAAATATGTGTTAGTGACTTGAGTTCCAAGTGGTCTTGACTAGGAGATTAGGCTTATTTCACAAGAATGTGCAAGAGTATTTCAAGTAGCTGCTATGAGCATATACTTGCAATCATGCAGGTATACGAGTGTTTCAGGTGACCATTATCACAGATTGAAAGCGCAAGCCCACAAAAGCACAATCAATCCAGTGCCACGAATCCAAAAGCTGCAAATAACTCGGTGCAAATGAGCCAAAATACTATAAACAATTAATGGCACAGATCTAGAAAATAAAGTAGTCATTTTTTTTTGTAACTAATAGAAAAATAAACTTCGATTGGGGTCATTGGTGACAAAACAGTCATGAATAGGGTGCAACTCTGATTCATTTATATGCGGTTAATTCATAATCATTGTGTAATATGTATGCTTTATGTATGAAGTAAAATCTTGTAGTAACCAATGAAGAAAAAAAATCATAAAAGTAGTCTTACATACTGACTTCTAATATCTTCTCTGTATCCCTCCAATCAATTTCTGGGGCACCCTAAAGTGATATCAGACAACAGCCGTTAGTAAATAATTGAACCCAACATTACTAAGTTGGAACATACTACTAATGCCTCTACAACATATCTTTGGCAAAACCAGCGAAGATATAATATGCTACATTGTGTTTCTAATTTACAGGATTTTCTTATAAAATTTTCAGAATCTTTATAATGCGCTCTAGAAGGGCTTATTGCGAAATATGAAAACTGTGCTTTTGGGGGAAAAGGACTTATTACTACTTATCTGCTGAAACTGTGCTTTTGCATCAAGATCATAAAATTAAGAATTTTGGGCTATTTTCTGTAACTTGCTTGATAAATGTAATCTCTTTAAAACAGCTTGGGTGTAATCTATAAGTACATAATTCTTTTGGACTGATTCTGCATTTACAGCTATTTGAAACACCTTTAGCCTTAGAAAATAAGACGGAACAGTGAACTGAAAGATAACATTTGAAGCTAAGTGTTGATTCTAACAAAGTAATTATGGGTTTCTTTGATATTTCAAAAGAAATATTTGGAGCTACAATTATAACAATGTACTTAATACCCATTGTTAAGAAGCTTTACAACTTAATTAGCTGATAGAGAATACTGACTTGTGAAATGATAAAATTGATGCTCGCCCTTTCCCAACTTGAACCCCGCTTCTCTTCTCCAAATTCCTTCAGTATTTGTTGCCAAAAAAAAACTTTTAACCATATATTTATAATCCTTAGTTATCAAATTCCGATTAAAATAGGATTTAGGAAGCCTCTGTTTCCATGGTATATTTGTACCAAGTGAGGAACTTCTAGTAACACACTAATCTTATTTATGATTTATTTATATTTAACCTTAAACAGAAAGATCCTTGAAGTAGTATCCAAATCGTATTTTAGTTTATTCTTAGTCTAATTTTCCTGTACCATGTACAATAAATATGTTAGTATTACTACAAAGTTGTAACTAAATTGAATAGAAATATTGGCTAAATCAAACTTTCTAAATTTAAAGAATTTATTTACAAAAATTAATAAATTTTAGGTTATCTAAAATAAAAGTGTTACATAACCAATTCTCACATAAGCTTCATGGTATCCTGCCGTTATGTACTTTATTTAGGTTGATATCCATGCTTTGGTTTTCATGATCAAGTTGGTACTTGATCTACTATGCATTCCATTTTAGATGGATAGCGGAATGTGAAATCACAATTATTATTGCATGTTGAATTATAAGAATAATTTCCTAAATTTCACTTTATAGATAGTGCAATATGATTGCCATAGTCTCATGCATTTATTTCTTACTATGATCGTGAAGAACTCTCGCGGCCATCAATAACACTCCAAGCCTACTAAGTATTCCACATGTCTTGTGTCAGGTGGTTAGGTTCACAAATAAAATTCCATTACCCAAACCCTGTTAGATATAAGGCTCAAAATAAAATTCTGATTTCTGGGAAAATTATTTCTGATCCGGAAATGTTCATGAGCTTCTGGTTGGTTGAGTGATTTACTCGGATACATAACACCCTTAGTGATGTCTTTGTATTCAATATTTAACTCTTTGTACTGGTAATTAAAGTGAACATAAATGTGCAGAAATACGGAAAAGCTTCATCTCACATATTTTTAACTACAAATTTAGCAACCATTAGTGGATTATAACATTGTTTTTATACCTATTGATGATTTTTTTTCCTGGTATTTCCAGGTATGCAGATAAGATCGCCAATGCTAAGTGGGAAGTAAAAGATCTAGGTCTCGAGCATAATGGGCAAGTGACTATTCTTTTCTTCTGTTTTGAGTATTTTTTTAGTTTTATTCAAACGTTTACTTTTTGCATGAAGAAATTATAAATGCCTTATAATCTACTTCTTTACAGGTTTTCTGAATCCTATCATTTCTATTGGTTCATAATTTTCATTTTAGCAATCAATGGCTATCTTCACAAGCAGATCTCATGTTTCTTGTTAGCTCTAAGCATATTGGCTTGTCCAATTTTCTCATTTTTCTTTGATAACTATAATTGTCACTGGTAGTTTTTTGTGTGACCTGAAAAGATATGTTTTGCTGACTTTGGAGGATCAAAATTAGTGAAACAATGTTGCAGTAAAGTTGTTCATTAGAAATTGCATACCTATTATAGCTGCGCATAATGACTGCCTGTCTAGGACTCTGGACTGTTTACGCCTAACTTTTTTAATGTTGTTTATCCTGACAAGTTTAATATTTGTGCATAATAGGTATGTTGACTTGTTATTGGGAGAGTTCAAACATTATCATACAAGGCTCGCGCATGGTGGAATCTCTAAGGAGGTAAAAAATCATTCAAGCATTTTACTTATTTTGTCGTGTTTGTATGTCGGCAATGCTTACAAGTCATGTTTCTCTGTATAATGAGTTTGGAGCTTTTTCACCAGGTGTATCAAATTGTTCCCATGCCATGTGATCTGAAGTCATCATTTATATCGTTAGTAAACATTGTTTCTTCTTACGTAGGATTTATAAATACCCACCGCGGGTGATCGAGGCTGTTGGGAGGTTTGAATATGGCTCCCACGGGTCTTGGGTTCGATTCTGGGCTGGGATATTGTAAAAAAATACAGGATTAATAAATATGCAATCATGAGAGAACAACATAAAGAAGAATAGAAAGCTCAAAGTACTACTGACATAAACATCAGAGAATGCCATCTGAGACCTTTCATGTTAAGCATAGAATTTGTCACAATGCAAATGATAGCTTGCAAAAGGGGTTGTCACCTGACATAATTGCAAAAGGGGGTGTATCAAATTGACAAGAGAGGGCCTTACCATATATTTTGAACGCGAGTAAGCTCATAGCAAAAGCATCAGATACCAAATAATGAATTGGTAGGGTCCAACTGTACGTTGAATTTCCTTGTTATAGATCTGCAGATAGGTCTTCAAAAAGTGTGATTCTAAAACTGACTAACGGCTATCATATAGTTGCTGCTATAGTGTCTTGTTTTTTAGGAGAGCCACTTGATTGCCGTTTTCCTGTATTTGACTAAGGGTGTCATGTAGCTGTTGTTATCATGTATTTCTTTGAAGAAGCCTCAATTTGTAGTGAATTTGAGAAAACACAATATTCTATGTGTATGTGTCTATGTTTGTGTGGTATGAATTTTTATGAAGGTCTCTTTCAATTTACAACTAGAAAAAGTTAAAGCATATTAAAAATTATGCTTTTAATTTTGCATGTTAAAGACTGCGTTCCATGGTATCAAAGGTTCCTTAAAATTAGTAATTTTCAGAATTTCTTCATGATACCAGGTCCAAGATCTCCTTTTAGACTATGGACTTGAAAATGTTGCGGAAACACTCATTGAAGGTCTATCACGAGTAAAGAGATGCACAGATGAAGGAAGAGTGTTGATGTCGTTAGATCTTCAGGTCTCAGGCTATGCTTTTTAATGTTCTGAAAATGGGGGAAATTCACAACTAATATAGGCATTTTATCTGTTAACAGGTTTTGATTAATGGACTCCAACACTTTGTCTCCGTTGGCGTCAAGACAAAATTGCAAGTCGTTGAAACATTCATTAAGGTATTAATGTTTTGCATCTTAAATCACCTCAAGTTGCTTCATCTTAAAAGTACATATTAACTCTGTGTCATGTGTATATTACTGAATGGCTTTTACTTTTTTTTTAATATTTGCTTCTCAGAGGAATGTAATTCCGTAAATAGCAAATGTGTCAACTGTACCCTTATTTTAGGTTCTTAGTTTATGATGATTAGTGTTACTCCTTTGGCACAGCATTAACCTATCACCACATGTAGCAAAATAAATTGCCAGTAGATAGTGTTGACAAACTGTTTCGATATGACTAGGAAGGTGGGTTTCACCAGTAGTTTATTTGAAGCTTATTTAGTAAAATGAGCTGTCTCT